TGTATGGATGATTAACTATATATATATATATATATATATATATTATGTATCAAATATCTTATACTTATATATTTTATATTTTAAAAAAATATTTATATATAATTTCATATTTCAATTTAAAAACCGAAATGAACAATACAATCTAGGAAAATAAAAAAATCGAATAAAACTTTTAATTTACAATTTTCCACATGAGTTTTAATTTTTCGTTTGGATTGATTTTTTTCACATGAGTTTTGATTTGAAGGCCGTTAGTATTCACAGTATGAATTCACACTTAAAAGTCAAAGCTAGAGGAAGGTCACGTGGGTTCTGAATAATTGTATTATTCTCAAGTGAAATGTTGAAATTGTTAGTTTGTGGTTGAGGATATAAGGTCGGCCACTTCAGTGTGGCACAATTTATATACATAAACTCAGTAAGTTCCATGTTCATGCAATATTGGTCCATGGACAATAATCACGTATATTTTCAACCTTTAAACACCATCCACTATGCTTGATTTCAATCAGGGTCAGCATCTTAAAAAGAAGAACCACTACTAATGGCAACATTCTTAGTGATAGCAACCATTAGTCTTTATGTGGTTGATATCGTTTATGATCATTATTTAATGGTGTTGGGATAATTAAAATCTATATGTGGGTAGTGGCATGTGGGACTGGGAATCCACCGCTTTACATGGTTGTACTGTTTTTGACCTAACTAGTGTAGAGTACTACTACGGGAAATTGACCATAATATTTTTCTTTGCTGCTTCTCTTTTTTGGTTCAGGCCAATAATTCCTCTTTCGATTGAACATATCCTCATGATTACTACGTACCTTTAACTGACAACTCAAATGATATCCTAAAATGATTTTGCAAGTGCTTGCTTTGATTTTTAAGTTGAATTTCTAAATATGTTTTTACTAAATTCATCTCCATACTAAGTAACCAAATAAGTAAATAGAGAGGATTTAAGTGTGAGCATCTAAACATAGAGTAGATGCTTGCTATTGCTATTTCAACTCTTGTCTCCAACGTGCTTATATGCGGCTTTGAGAACCTTATATCCACCATCTAGTCTTCTGTATAAGAGTTTTGATTTGACTCTCGTGATGGAATATAGATATTTCGTATGTAAACTCTATTAATTCATTCTATTTTCATGAATCGGAAAGTTATTCTACTCAGATGATTCGAATTATTGAGTATTTATGTGTGTATGTATTAATAAGTTGGATGAGACATTTCTTTTTTATGAGAGGAGATTGTTTGCTTTGTGGCTGGGAATATATATACAGTGATGAATTGATGATGATACATGCATGTGTGGGCGATTAATGTAGTTTATGTTGGAAATATTCTCATGAAAAAATGTAAGAGATTATGAAGACTCAAAACTCAACTACATATATATGAACTTGGGGGTATGATTAATTAAGGAGATTATTTGTTTAGGCTATTTGCAAGGAGTGTGCAGTTACTTATAAGTTGCAGCTTATTTATAACCATTTTTATAGCTTACAATTTTTAATGAGTTAATTTCACAGAAGAAAAAAAACTTATTATTATCAGATATTTTTAATTTATTTTAGTAAGTTTTATGACAAAATATATTACTCTCATTTTTTTTAATTGTTTTTATTAAAGTATTTAATAAAACTATTTAACTGAGCACACCAGTGCCTAAAACATATTGCATCAAGGAGTGTCTCTTTAGTAACATCTATTTTTCATTAGCAGTAATTAATAACTTTTGTTCAATATAACGTGAGAAACCAAGCATGCAAACTCCTTTCATAAAAAAATTTGTATGTGTTTATGCAATAGTCATCTGAGCTACCCTTCAATATTTGTGTGAATTAACTCTACATATACAAAAGTGATACAAACAAATAATTAACTAGAAATCCAGAACGGGCTTTCAGAAAATTAAACACAAGGAGGGAAAACTGAACATGTATTGAAAAGTATGATTAAAAGTTAAATAGAAAAGATAAAAGTATATGCATGAAGGGAATATTTGAAGGGCCGGAAGGAGCAATTTCCCTGCACTTTATTGAGAAGCAAAAGGAGCATAAAGAAAAGACACACATGCACATAGCAAATAAATTTGTCCAAGTTCAATAACTACTATGCAATAATAATTAAACTGAACTCCTTACCAATAATGAAGAGAGCAGCTTTCCAAGAACCAGTTGAAGCTCGGAGTGGAACCATGCCTTTGTGGTCCAGTGAAGAATCATGAACCCATTTCATCTCATCACCCTCTTCTGGTTTTACTTCCACACTCACCTTCTCCATCTCACAGGGTTGATTGAGTATTGCTATACTTTAACACTGCAAGGGTGGTGAAGGCTTCTATATCCTTCCTTGCTATTGTCTAATACATGGTCACCTCTTTTTATAGAGGAGGATTTGCTTTCTTCCTTTTTTCTTTTTCTGTAAACTTATTCCTTTTTATTTTCTGTTGTTGACATAATAAATATGTATTTAATTGTGTTTATATCATTCTCTCTTTCTTTTCTTCAGTTTTCACCCCCATATTTTATTTATAAATAACATTTATTACTTTTTTCTTTTTCACTTCCGACATTTCTCTTTCCTCACAAAAGTAGTTGCGAAAAAGAAAACTTTAATCTTTTTATGTTGGCAGTTGTTTCAATTGAGATATGATCAAATCATATAGCACGTGCTTAAAATTGTTAATTTCAACTTAATTAATAATTTTTACTTCAAATTTTAGATCAGTAACAATGCACAATACATGGAATAAGTGTTTTAAATATGTCTATCTTGAATGAAGTATACTTGTAGTTTATAAAAAAAAAATGAGAATCACTAAATGTATGAGTTAGTTGGTATAAGATTGTTCTACTTTGATTAGAAATCTCAAGTTTAAATTTTGAATATACAATTATATTAAATACTCATATGAACAAGCAACATGTTATCTAAAAAAGGGCACATGTCTAAAATATTGTTATATATATATATATATAT